ACAGTGAATTTGGCCAGGCCTTGTAACAAAGGCTGGGCTGAACCCATGTGGCTGATGTGTAGATCAATGTTTGGGTCCCATGCCATACAAGGATACCCAATTAGGCAGCAGTTTGGAAGAAGAGGGAGCACATGGACTTAATGGGCCTAAAGCCTAATTCGAACTGGTTTAATTTGATTAATTAAAAGGGGGCAGATCAGGGATTTAGATCAGTAGATGGGATAAGGGATTGTCCCTATCCACTCAGAGATTCCAAATCCAAATAGAGATTTGGATCAGGAAACTCCTAATAAGATTAGGAGGGCTGATCTTTATCTGCAGATAACATAAGGGATTATCCTCATCTCTTAAAGAGAATCTAGATCCAAATAAAGATTTGGATTAGGAAACTCATAATAGGATTAGGAGAACCTCTCTTTAAGGCTATGAAAGGAGGAGGAAGGCGAAACCCAGTTCACCTATTCTGATCACAGATACAAGAGAGAAGACACCTCCAGTGAGACTGACGTCATCTTCTGTTATTGCCTTCTCCTCCTGCTGCTGCCATTGCTAGTTCATTCTCCACCTGTAGGAGCGATCAAGAAGCGTTCTTGATATCAGTTTTTGGTAAAAAAATTGATCTGAAGTCGTGATCACTCACCCTCCATTGAATTCTTTCTGAAGAGTTTGGTTCTTGCTGAAGAACCACCTGCTGATTCTGCTCCACCCTACGCTATATCATCTTCAGTGGGAGCAGCCTTTGGCATTTTCCTTGGGCGTGAGGATTCTAAACTAATACAAGTCTGATATGTGTCCAGTTTAAGGGTATTACACAATAATACACCACAATAACATGAATCAAATATGTACTTTATTCATTTACATTAAAAGTCATAGGGTACATCATTCTAATTGGAGCTAAGGGCATACACTGTCTAACACAGTGAACCCCTAAGTCCATCACCATGGGTTCCTAATGGGCCCAACATTTACACTAAATGGTCCCTGGGTCAAGCCACCTTATAAAAACCTAAGGACTGTGCGCATATGCATAAATAGTCCATCAGGTATTACCCTCAATGGTATTACACTTAACCTCTCAGCCCATAATGATGAAACACTACCTGACAAGAGAGGACCTATCCCTCGACTGCAATGAACAATGTTGCACTCTCTACTCACATGGATCCCAAGAATTAAAACATTTTGCAAACATTTTGAAATTTGCAAAACAAATTTCAATGGTTGAAATCGGTTGCCGGTAGCTTTGGTTTCCATCAGAGAGAGTGCATCGCCGATCATTCACTTTGTCCGACAAAGGGGCTGATCCTATCACTATGATCACCTGCTCAAATGAATTCTCGGACTGTCCCAACATACCCAGGTTTTGACCCCCTCTAAGGGTCTCACTGATTGGCATATCAAAGACAACCCAATCCGACACCTAGTGCAGTATCATAATCGAATCTAGGGGTCAGGTGTAACATTCCAGTTTTGCCCATCAATCTCCAACGTCCAGGGCAATACTGGAATTCTAGTCCGATTCAGGTTTTCAAGAAAACCCACACTACATGTACCTCAGGTCTCACCCTAGCAACTGAGACAAGCCACCCCAACCAACTGGGCGGCACATCAGTGTCAGCCTTGGCAAGATAAATCTCACCAGACCGATCCAATGGCTGTGAAGATTCTAAACTAACACGAGTCTCATATGTGTCCAGTTTAAGGGTATTACACAGAAACACACCATAATAACATGAATCTAATATGTACTTTATTCATTTACAATAAATGTCATAAGGTACATCATTCTGATTGGAGGTAAGAGCATACTCTGTTTAACACAGGGTTCTACCATCCATATGATGGATCTCTCATCCCTTCACAAACAAACTTTACTATCAAATACAATATAAGTTTTAAGCATACATATTCAAACTGAACCAAATCGGATTATATTGGATTAGATAGGAGTGGATCTATATCTAATTAAATTCAGATCATCTATGATGCTATTGAATTTGAATGGTTCAGACAATACCATTATGTTTGCAACCCTAGATACCATTCATGACTTTTCAATATACTTTAGGTTGTGCTCGATAGGAGTGTTAATGGACCGGATTTGGGTTAGACTCCATCCAAATCATAATCAATTTGGACGGATTGGACAGACCAATAAGACATTGAATTAGACCAGTTTAGACTTAATAGTCCAAAGTATTTATTGAATTGGATTGGATTAGATTGAGGCAATATCTGCTCCATTACTAAAAGATGAAAATACAGGTGTCAACAGACCAAGTTTGAGTTGGAACCGACCTAAATTAAAATGAATTTGAACAGATTGGACGGTCCAGACATTGAATTGTACTGGTTCAAAATGGTCTTAAACATTCATTGGACTGGATTGGACCAGGTCTATTTGTAATGGACTCACATTGGACTGAATCGGATTGGACCAAATCCAGTCCAATTGGCACCCCTACTGCCCATCCAGCTTTATGTTTGGTCATCTTTGTGTCAGACCTTAACCTGTTCATTAAATCGTTTTACCCACCATCACAAGAAAGAAGAGAACAATTCAAAAGTACACTGGTTGAAAAGATCGAATAATCGATCCATGTTACGGTCCCATTCCTTGATTGACACGCATTAAAAAACAAGAAAACAACAATTTTCCCTTAACGGTGGACAATGGTGAATAGGAGAGATATCATTGGACAAGGGTTTGATTATAATGGCAGAACGTCATGATACCGGAGAAACTTGCAACCAAATTAATCACCATCAGGATCACTATTATGATATAATCTTGGGAGGCCTAAGCACGAGGGAATAGCAGGATTCCTGCCACAACGCTCAGATTGTATTAGAGGAAATCATCCATTTCAAAATTATCCTTGGGCGTGTGAATTGTGAAACCATCCAGTTCAAGTACCTGCCAGGTTGAAATAGGTCAAAACCACAATGCCATTAGCATCCTAGTAAGGGCTCAAGGCAACTCTAATCCCCAATTCTTTTATACCCAACATCCATAAAAAATAGACCCATTGGAGTCGATGACCAAAACAAGAACCATCACAATATTTTAGAATTCTAAAACCCCCAAGCTTCAGTAACGGCTACTATAGAAGGGTGTACAACTGAAAATTTATGAGAACTTCACAAAGTAGTGATAAATAAAACTGCGGTTGTTGAATTGCTGTTACATCAAAATTTTGTAGTGTAAAGAAATTCTAATTTGACAAATATTTTACAAATACACAGATAAGGAAAAAATAGCCAAGTAAATCACAAAGTTGGGAGGAATCCCTGTTCTTATAGTGTACAATTAATTTAAAGATGCCGCTGCCGCTGATCAACATAATAAACACAAGCTTCTTATCTGTGGGGCATCCCGATCTTCAAGGCCTTTCAAGAATGCTCTAATTGCAAGGTGCTCTGAAGCATATGTCATGAAAGATGCCAAAACCAAACCACCCACAACCATCAATCCTAACCTGTGGAGACGCTGGTCATTTCAAACTACATTCTCTTAAGATGAAATGGAATTCAGAAAACCAGACAACTCCCCTCGTTATCATTTGAATCACCACTCAATGACTAAATAAATAATGAGTAAGTTCGCTGGAGTCCAGATCTCCTGCCCACGTCTACCCACCACACAACATCGCAGCCACATGGAGAACATCTCATCCTCCTACACAGTATTATGCAGTGGGAGAAGCTCCCAATTCACGGGGGTAGTGTGTTCTGGGTAGTGGGCAGAGTTTGTGTGGGCAGGAGATCTGGAGTCAGTCCTACATAGTATTATGCAGTGGGAGATGTTCCCAATTCACGGGGGTAGTGTGTTCTGGGTAGATGTGGGCAGAGTTTGTGTGGGCAGGAGATCCAGAGTCAGTTCTCACTGTTTCTCTTCCTCATCCAGAGGTGGAACAGTAGAGGCCGTCAAGGCCATAGAATTGATCAATTAACATATTGTTCACTTTGGCAAATGAAAAGATAATTATGCTGCAGCCTGCAACATTGCATGAAAATCTGATTAACTGTGCAGAGATTTTCTTTTTTTTTTTTGATAAATAAACTGTGCACAGAGTTACTTGCTAGTCTGCAGTCAATTTATCATACGATTGAATTTAACCAAAAGTATCAATAGATATTGTCTGGTGTCATATTCCTCCTAGAAATATTGCATAACTTCTAGTTTTAAGATATTATGATAGAGAAGAAAAACCCCTATATTGGAAATTCTTCATAATCAATAAACAAATATAACAAGGAAACATTTACTAATCAAGTAGGAAGCTTTGACCATACATATTTCTGCATGTGGAGAGATTGTGTTGCCAACCAAGATTGTCCACATAGGGGGCAAGGATTGGCACATGTAAACTTCCACAATCTATATCAACCCTATACCCCACACTGTATTATTGCTGGTTTTCTAAATTAATATTATCACTTGAAAGTGATAATTTTTAATATAAATCTAACCTAGGGATCATCTTGAAAACAAGGCTAGGACTTATGGGCCAAAATCTGTTCTATGAATATAGGGTAGGAGAGTAACATAGGGAGTCGGAAAAAGCAACAGCAATTAACACCAAAAGGCCTTCAGGCCAAGACTGACATAGACTTCCAAATTTTGAACATTTTAAGGAGATAATGAACAAGGATGCATGAAATTCATAAATTTCACTGCCTTTAACTGACAGTGAATTCATGATTAACATGTAGGAGTAATGAAATAATACCAAAATTGTCATCATTGGTAACATTTGAGAAGTTCAAATGGAGAGATTATCCTCAGCCAAATTACAACATAATGTAGCAATCATGAAATATGTTGAGAAAACTTGCGGAAATCACTGAAATCCACTGAGAAAATTACCTCGTAAACATTGCTGTGATCCCCAAAAGGCACGGCAATGAAGGGGCAGCTACAGCAAGAAATGCCATCCCTAATCCGTAATACCATGTGGCAAAATCACAATTAGACACAAGACGATGACCTACATTGCACACAAGAATCATAAGCTAATAAACTACTAAACTAGATTAAAGAGAAACTATTTATACCTCGAATATATATACTGGACATGACTACATTTTACAAACCTTTTCTGGAATCATAGTCAGAAGATTCAGGATGATTGGAAACGGATCCTGCTTGAGTTGCTGTCATCCTACCCCACTGATATATTAAATGGATATAACCTCCAAATAATATGAAGAAAATTGTAAATATCCACTCGTACATCAGCAGTAAACCTGTCCATGGCATTACTTGCCGAGGGACAATTACAAGTGCAAGTGCAATGGACACCACAGCAGCCAGGAAACAAACGAAAACAGAGATTCCACCCAAATAAGCGGGTACCTTGGAATGCAGTCCATTTGAGAACTGTTCAACATAAAAAACAAACCTTAACAGCACAGAAATAAAAATGTCTCCAACTTTCTAACAAGTAAAAGATAAAACAAAAAATTGACTATGCACCTCATTTTTCAAACAATGACCACCACAGAAAACTAAAGGCCTTTATCATTGTCAAATTGATGGTTCCTAAAGATCAAGGTGACCAACTAAACCATACTTTTATAATATCACCATGGACAAATTGACGGTTCCATTATGCCAGTAAAGATCATGACTGCAAATGACAAATGGACAAATACAATAACTTATCAGATTCCATTTTGTTCGCAGGAATAGGGATCTAGAATCGGAATCGAGATGAGCCATCCCGATTCCAACTGTTTAGTTGGGTGGAATCGGAATCCCATTCCCATTTCTGGGGGAATGTCATTCCCCCATTTTAGGGAATGGTCATTCCCTCCCTTGGGAATGAAAACCCATTCCAGCTGATTCCAATTCCCATGCCAATTCTTGTATGAACCAAACAGACTGTGGGAATAGACCATTCAGATTCCGAATCCAATTCCAATTCCACTTCTGACTGTGAACTAAACGGACCCTCAATCATACATTCTGACTTAAAATCTTGGAACTTTTTTTGATAATTAAAAGGGTTCAACTATGATATGGAAAAAGATATGATATCCGAAAAACATCTGACCAATCAACTGGAATCATAAACTTGGGAGTGAATCAGGCGTTAATTATCAAAATGCATGGGTGGGTTTTGATTGGTCAAAACTCTTTCCATACCATTATCCTTCCCACATCATAGATTTTCCCTAATTAAAATCTTAGAACCTTTATCACAAAATGACTTAAAGATAACCCTATTGGTAGAATGAACATTGGGTAATGGCCTTTACCATTGTCAAATTGAAGGCTCCTAAAGATTAAAGTAACTAATAAAATCATACTGATAGAATAAAAATTTGCATACTGACCTGTTGATTGGAATTAATGGACGATGAAGAAACACCAACAGCAGAATAAAAAAATCCACCAGCTTTAAATTTATAATAAAGATGTCTGACATGATCATAGAATGAGTTTCTACAAAATGTGCCACATGAATCCCTCTGCATTTGGATTAATACCAAAATTATTTTGGTGATTACAAGCAACCAAAGTTTATTTTATTAGATTCCAACAAAGTTAAGTCAATTCAAAATGTGCTAACCTGAAAAAGGGAACGATGGTAACAAAGAAGCAGAGCAATTAAGGGAAGGAAGAAAAGAATTTTGACTAGAAGAGAATCATTTGGATTTTTTCCCCCTGCTGTTCCTGGAAGAGATTCTTCAAGATGTTCCCGGACATTCTGCAGGGTCACCAAGATAAATCAGATAGTTGAAGGTACAATGGTGTCTCATTTGTCTGGTAAAATCTTTTCAATGCTTAATTTCAATAACATGCTCCACACAAATGCCAGCATAAACAAATAAAAAACATGATTACCTCATCCTCACATGCAAAACAAGTATACATGTCACACAAAAGCATAGGAACTGCAACACACAAACATGTCTACACATGAATGCTACTCATCCAAACATGTCTATACCTGCCAAATGTCAACAGGTTTTAGGAGCCATGCTGTCCACCAGTCCCATGGTTTAAGGGGACCAAGTGTGTAGTGAATAACCCGGAGTTCTTTCTCATCTACCATCCACTGCATAAATGATATGGACAAAGAGAACATTAGCGAGATAGTTCAAGGAAAAAGTAATGCAAAGCAATGGTCAAAAGTAAATAGAGTTCTATTAGCTAATACTAGAGAAGCCAATATCATATATGAAAGAATTTAATGCAAGACTACCATAACCATGGGCATCTATTGTTAATAACTTAAGTTTGGAAGAAAAAAAGTTGAACACCATGGTCATCTATTGTCCTCGGAAAATAGGGTATCAGGGCTTCTCCAGCAGGGTCGTTCAAATTTAACATGCCCACGATCAATAAAAAATAGTGAAGTTAAACACTACAAACATCAACGAACATTAGTACATTCTTGCTTGAGTAAATGGCAGTTACCAAAACCATGATAATCAATTGCCCATACATGGATGCCCTGTGTAATTGGGATGGTGAGGCGGTAAGAGATGGTCTCTTAGAAAGACAAAGATGACCAGGATTGGAAGAGGCAAGGTCGAGAAGAAGTTTTGTAAAAGAGGGGACTGCAAGAGGAGTAGGAGGCAAGTGAACTCGAGAAGTCTGGAACCCGGGAATCTTGAGACAAGTCTCATATGAGAAGCAGAAAAATAGGGACTTTCCCATTAGGAAAGAGGATCACAATTCTCTAGTCTTTAATTGGTAAACTCCGCTGGGGTTTTGCCACGTGTCCAGTGAGCAATAGTTGTACATGTTTTCTGAAGTTATCAACACAACATCTTCCCCTTTTTTTGATAGGAAACATAAGTTTTCATTAACACCGGTAAAATTTATACAAGATATACAGGTCCAATCCATAAGAATAGGGAAACCAACCCCCAAAAGAAAACCACATTCTTTCCTATGAATTATTAGTTTTACTACTTCTGTTAGTAGATAGTAGAATTGAGAAAAAGGTCTCTTTACAACAGAAAAAGGATGGTATGATCCTAAAAACAGCTTTACATATGGCATGGAATTGTCAGCATACAACATTCCTGATTCTTCATCCTAAACTGTTCGAACTAAAGACACCCACAACAGTATATTCCTGTAAAAGATATCAAACAGTCCAAAAATTTGAGCTCACATCTTAATCTCCATAGCCAAATAGCTTTTCCCTTGGCCCATCTTAAGCACTCCATTACCAAGATGATTTCCTTCTATGATCAGGTCCAGAGAGGAGTGCCATGACTTAGATTCATTTAGCTTAACCCCTCCTAGGTAGAAAGCCTATGCAAAATTAAAAACTTGCCCAGAGGATATGCTTTCCATCCCAAAACAAATGAAATTTGCGTGAGCATATATGATTAACAATCATAATTCTTTTAGGTATCCATTCTAAATTAAAATATGATTATTAGGAGAAAAGGTGTTTCTTCTTCAAAATTCACCCTGCCACTCTTCTAAAGTGTAGTCAACTTGGTTCTTGTTTTCTTGTTCTTTAGAGTGAAAAATACACCACCTGCAAACTATGCTATAAGTAATTGAAATAATTAGGTATTCATAAAAATTGAAACCCAACATTTCCGGTTTTTTAATGCATTGTTTTTCTATTACTCAAGTCATGCTATAACCGTATGAAGATTTATATTTTTTTTTTTATCAGTAACCGTATGAAGATTTATATTGTTGATATAAAAGATAATTTCTAGGGATGCATAAATATTCACATTTCACACAACATATCTATTCAAAAATTAGGATGGCAATTACCTTATTGGCCAGCATATACAGGCCAACATCTGCATTATACAAAGTAGAGAGTCTCTCCATTTCAGGTACCGGTCTAGAATTTATCACATCAGAAGACAAGCTTGGCTCAAAAACATGCGCATTTGCAAATTCAGGGAAGTATGCATTCAGAAACCCCTGATCTCCTGTTATGGTAAGGGAATGTGAGCACATATTACTTTCACAGACAAGTAAGAACTTGACATAATGAATCCCTATATACTTGTATGCTATGTCCTTTCTTACATTCCATAGGAAAGATGTAATTAAAGATATAAGATGAGGGGCACAAAAGAATTAGTATTAGAAGTTATTTGTGAAATAATCTATGTAACCCAGATACAGAAAGGAATAAGTATTCTGAGTCCATCATTCTAGTTGTGACTTGTATTTAAACTTTTAAGTGTCAAAACATAATTTTAAGCCTGACTTCAGTATCATTTGTTTATCTAACAATCCCAATGGTCCACAATATGGACATGCATCCAGAAAAACATGGTTAATTTAGGATATAGTCCACAAGTCTTTTTTGTTTTTTCTTGGATCAATAACAGAACTTCATTAGAAATATGAAAAGATAATTACAAGATTAGGAGAGGTACACTTTCTTAACTCTCCAGAAAGAAATTTGCTATTACAATTGAGCCCAGAATAATTGATTCCTTCCCACCCCTTGTTTTGCTAATACATCAGCAAACCCATTTGCAATTCTTTTAACCCAACTGAATTTCACGTCCATATTTTGTGTCAGCCACCTGAATCTCTTCTTTTCATTACTAAAAACCCAGAGTCCCTTTCTTCCTTTTGCAGTCACTCCACTACCAGACTTGAATCAGCTTCCTTGTGTTCATATCCTTTGCCCTGCGCAGTCCCCTCCATGACAGCCATAATCTCAGCCCCCTTAAGGAGTCACCTACTCCAATGAGGCCTGAAATAGACCAATAGTTCTGCCTTTACTATTTCTAAACAACCCTCTAATACCAGAGGGACCCAGTTTTTTTTCAAGAGTAAGAATAAAAAATTTATTGATAAAAAGAAAAACTGATTACAACCAGACAGTGATAAGATAACACCTAAAATAGATACAGAAGTACAACAAAGACACGATCAAACATGATGGAAACAATCCCCCCTCCCCAACAGTGCAAAAGCACCTAATCTTCAGCTTCAAACGTCTCATTGTAACCATCATCGTCCTCATCCCAGATCTTGCCTCCTTCACTTACCAACTTCTTCATTCTCTCTTCCTTTTTGCTCTTTTCAAATATTTCAAAAGCTCTTCTAGCGAACACCTCACCTCCCCAGAAAAATAAACCTAAGCTCTTGCCAATTTTAACCTCCCTATCAACCAATCTCTTAATCTCTGCTTCCTCCCCCCCTCCTCTCCAGCTTGTTGAGCCAAAGCGAGACAACTATCACCGACTCGACCTCCCTCCTCTGTATTCCTTGACCCTACCCTAACCTCCAAACCTTCCTTTGCCAAAGTCAACGTTTTCTCACCCACTTCAGTTTGAAACTCTTCCCCACACCCCCCTCCTTCATCACCTTTCTTCTTAGGATCTAAAACTTTTAATTTATCCTCTTGTAGACTCTCTTATATTTACTGGAAGGACCCACCCTAATCAACCCGAACTTTAGCCTTGAAAAAACCTTCAACACATGAACAAAATGGAACTTATTTGTCTCTTTGGCTTTCTTCAATCCTTCTGAATGTTTAACGTCTCCTTCCTTGTTCACGCTTCTTAACCGACCTAAATCAACTCCAATCCTCCCAACTAAAACTTCAAGCTTTTGAAACTCCTCATACTCTGTTGACTAACCAGAATCCCCATCATTGTCCCAAGCCTCTTCCAAAATCTCAGCACAGCAACTAGATTTCGATCTCTTATCGGCACCTCCTTCCTAACCAACCTCTTACACCCTTCCTTGCGCTCTCCTTCCTAACTTGCTGGTTCCTTTATTGCTTCCTTCAAACCCTCCTCCCTTCCCTCCTGGCCTCCTAAACAAACATCGTATAGATCCTCCACAACCAAATTCCATGGCTGAGACAAGTTAGGAGGTAGATTGATGAAGAAATCATCAAAAGAAATAACTTTACCTATTTGATGACCAAGCCTTTTTACCTCCTTTCTTCCATCACAAGGTTCCTTTAAATCATAGATATTCTCAAACCTGTCGCATTGAGCTCCTTTCTTGAAATACACATGAGCAAACTCGTCAATTGGACTCGAGAGCCACTTACCAATATTTTCATATTGAAATGAAAGCCAGATTATTTGACTCTTCGAAATTTCTCTTGTTTGAAACCCTTAAACTGCAACAATGCTTCTTAGAAATCACTTTGTCTCTATTAGGAAGCCTAGCTCTCGAGACACGAACCTTATCCAACCCTTCAACGCCTCTTCCAGATCGAAATACCTCCTCGTCTTCTAAAGTTCTAGAAGCCACGTTTTCTTTAACAGTTTAACCACCCCAAGTCTCCTTTTTTTCATCTTCCACATTTCCCATAGGAGGAGCCCCCCTTATCGTCATCGCCTTCTACTATAGAAACACCCTTAATAGCCCTATTTATCTCCATAATAACCACTTCATTTGATATCGCATGGGCCCCACCACTTTCAGCTCTTTTTGGGACTCTTCGAACATTAAACTCGATGGACCCCAACAAAAAATCCCCAATTGAACCATTAAAATTTTTAATTCCAAAAATACCCTTGTCTTCAACCTTGCACCAATCCCCTACATTATAGACCTTCTTGGCCTCCTCATTTCATCTCTTCATATTTTCGATTCATCTTCTTGGATACAAACCTTCTACTACCAACCTTAAGTCAAACCTTTCGCCAACAAATCGAAGGGGCAAGGACATCGAGACACGGTGGATCTCATCAATTTAGATTAAAATATAAGTAGCAACCAAGTTTCTCCGTGAGATTGTTTAGGGTCAACAAATCTAAATCTCCACACAGATCTCCCACTGCCTTGAAGGTTTGAAGACTCCATGCATGCAAAGGAATCTTGAACACAGTAATCTATCGTTTGTTGGGAACATCTTGAAAAGAGGGCTGAAAGGAAGGTCTACAATTGAGTTAAGTTGAGAACATCTTCCCATTTGTGATAATACCCTTTGTTCACCCTCATGAATTTATCGCGTATCCCCACCTGATCTCTCTTCTAGGCCTTTGAAAATCCTCATCAAAGGAAGGTGTAGGTATATGTTGATCACCACAAGTGTGGTGGCACAGAAGGTGCTAAACCAATACCATAGAAACACCCATGACAAGCTCATAACTCAGCAAACATCCGTGACGAGCTCAAAGCCTGCACAGACTTGCAATGTTCTCAAAGCCTAAAATGATCTTGCGATGAACTCAAGACCACCGCAAGCCTGCAATAAATCCAAAGCAACAATGACAAAGACAAACTCAAAGCCATCGTGAGCCTGCGTTGAGCATAAAGCCATTGCGAGGCTACGATGAGCACGAAGTCGTCACACACCTATGATGAGCTCAACACTACCGCGAGTCTGCAATGAGCTCAAAGCCATCGCAGGTCAGAGACAAATGAAGAAGCACGTAATCCACTAACGTCACGTGTGACGGAGCACCCAATGAGATTAAAAGACACGTGAGATTAGTATTGAAGTCATTCGTGCCACGTCAGTCTAGGAGGCTCGCAAAAGGAAGTAGCATACGTGTACTATGAGAATCCTTTGACAAAAGGAAACCTCACCTCAGATATATCTCATAAGACACGTGACGAAACACTGGCAGTGTTCCCTGAAAACTGACACCGAATCGAAGATTCCCTTTCCTATTGGGAGTTAAACACTTTTGGCTCTTTCCTTTCAGGACCTCGGGATCTCTCCCTATAAATAGAGGTCTAACTCATAATGAAGAGATCATTCTATCATTCTACCTTTTTTTTGATAAATAACAGAAACTTTTATTAATAGATACTAATAGAAAAAGATACAACAGGAGGGGTAAAAACTCTTAAACCTCCCAATAAGTGCATTTCAGTTTACAATATTGCCTAGAAAAAGTTGACTCTTCCCACCGCTTGTTTGGCCAATGAATCTGCCAGGGAATTGGCACTCCTCTTAGTCCATTGAAACTTGACTTCCATGTTTTAAATGAACTGTCTAACTTTCTTTTTCTCATTTAGAAATTTCCACAAACTAAAATTGTCCTTTTGCAACCAATTGGTAGCCATCTTAGAATCACCTTCCACCATTAGTTTTCTGATATTCAACTCTTGGGCTCTTTTTACCCCTTCCAAAACAGCCAATATTTCAGCACTAAGAGAACCCCCCCCCCATCCAATAGAACCAGAATACATGGCAATAATTCGACCTTCTCCCTCGCTACTACCATCAAAGTTTAGTTTAGTGAACCCCACAGCTAGAGGAGACCAAATTGGGTTAGATGAAATCTTCATTGGAGCTGACCAAGCCACTTCTTTCCACTTCCTGATGATGTCTCCTTCTAAATAGTTTTCAAAGAGCTTCATTGTCTTAGCCCAATGAGCCACCCTTATAGAAATTAGTTCAATGATGGCACCCTTATTTCTTTCTTTCTCATGAAAGGTCCTTTGATTCCTTTCCTCCCAAACTATCGAACATATAGCTGCTCTTATACATCTCCACAGAATTTTCCCTCTTCTTCAACCCCCTAACTGAAGTAGAATGGAACAAGCTTTGTACATTTGGGAGGGGGTCCACCTGCAACCAAAAAGAGAGAAAAGCCAACACCATATCTCTTAAATAAATGGGCAAGATACCAATAAGCGATGGCAAGTCCCACCATTCTTCTTACAAAGGATGCACCAATGCGGGGATAAACACCAATTAGGCCTTTTTCTTTGAAGTAGGTTGCAAGTGTTACACTTTTCTAAGAAGGCTTCCCAACAAAAAGCACTAATTCTAGGAGGGATTAGTCTATCCCAAACTTCCAAAACTAGGAAGGGTTGTCCAAAAACAGGTGGGGAATGAACCAATTCTTTGAAAAAAGAAGAGCACAAGAAGACACCTGAAGAAGAAGGGACCCAAATCCTATTATCCCTCCTATAGGGGTCAATACCCACCTCAAGTAGGATTTTGAGCAGGTCAGAAATAAGGTTTAGTTCAAAGTCTCTAAGAACCCTT